TGTGTGTGTGTGTGTGTGCATGTGTGTGGAGGCTCAACACTACCCACCTCCTTTGTGATGGGTGGACCTCACCAACTATTGCACCGTGGGTGTGTGCCTGCCTCTGCCTCCCCGGAACTGGGATTACAGATGAACATTATCACACCCAGCTGTGTACGTGGACTCTGCACATCCCACTCAGCCCCCACAAGCACTTCACTGACTGGGTCACCCTATCCTCTCTTCCTTTTGTCTGCAGTCGAGGCCAGCCTCAGCTCACCATGCTGCCTGCCCTCACAGCTGCAGCGGGCACACCTTCACAGCTGGGGCACACCTCCACAGCTGGGGCACACCTCCACAGCTGGGGCACACCTCACTCCACAGCTGGGGCGTGCACACCTCCACAGCTGCAGCACACCTCCACAGCTGCAGCACACCTCACTCCACAGCTGCAGCGGGCACACCTTCACAGCCAGCATCTCTCCCCCAAGAGGGAGCCAATGGCCACCACATCGGTGACAGGAAGGGCTCTTCACTACTGTGGTGACCAAGATGGGTCTCTTCCTGATATTTTAAACAACTGGCTAGCTTGGAAAGCATTTTTAGAACGACTGCCATCTTTTTAACATATATATTCTTACTGCTCTGCCTGAAAGAGTCGCCCTAATTGAAAAATTCTGAACCAATTAGGTAAATTGCATACCATATTCTTGGACCTTTAACCTTAGCTTTCGGCTGCTGTGTGCATGGGCTGTAGGGCTCCATTGGAAAGCAAGGGAAGGAGGATCAGGTATGACTAGATTTTTTTTTTTCTGTAAGAGGTAAAATCTTAAAAAATAAAATAAAATTTAAGAAATGGATTCAAACCATGTGAAATAATTTACATACATCACTGATGGTGGCAGGGCACCACTATCTCTCCGTGTTTGTGCTGTGTGTGTTGAGAACGTGCACCTTATCTTCATGAATTCAGAATCAGGACGTCACCGCGCCCTACCGAGGCCCACTCACCTGGCTCTGCTTCCAGCGTCTCGTTCCGTGGACTCACAATCACAGGTCTGTCGCTCTTGTTTTCCCCTGCAGGGAGAAAACCCCCGGAGCTCCTCAGCCTTTAAGACAGTTCACAAGCACTGCAGCACTCGGCCAGCACCGCGCTGGACCTGGCCAGACAGTCCCACAAGTGCCAATGAACAGCGCGTTCCGGATACGTAACACCTTCAAACACGGGGTCTACCCCTTTCGTGCCAGGATCTGCTCCGCTCTTCCTTGGGGTTGTCTGTTACAGTACCAGGAGCTGGACCCAGCGCTCCACACGTGCTAGGCTCGTGCCCCACCACTGAGCTACGTCCCCAAGGCCAGCGACTCCTGCTGAGTCAGAAGCCCACAGGACAGGCCCTCAGTGGTCTCATATGTCCACTAAAGGCAGTGTGGAGATCTTGGAGGACTGCTTCCTGGGCTAGCTGAGGATTTTACAGGCCCACTGGAAGGCATAACTCACAGAGCATTGGTCTTGCCAGCACTGTGTCTGGAGCAGGAATAGAGAACATTCGTGTACTACTAACAAAAATCAAAGTTAAGACCACAACTTGGTGTTGTGGTTTGGAGGCTGAGTGTTCCCACAGGCTCATGACTTTGAACATTTGGTCCCAGCTGGTACCAGTATTTGGAAAGGTTATAGAACCTTCGGGAGGAGAGATAAAGCTGGATTTGTCCATGGGGGAGGTGGATTAAACGTTTTATAGTCTAACCCACTTCTGGTTCATTGTCTCTCTCTGTATGTCTCTCTCTGTCTATGTCTCTCTCTCTCTCCCCCCCCATCTGTGTCTGTCTCTCCTCACTCTCCAGTGTGCCCATGAGATTTTTCTGTATCTCTTGTCTCTCTGTCTCAATTGTCTTTCTCTGTCTCTGTCTGTCTGTCTGTCTGTCTGTCTCCCTCCCCCAGTGTGCCCATGAGATATACGATTGTGCCTCCTGACCTCTGGGCCACTCTGGCTGCCCTGTCTTTCCACCACGACCAACTGCTCGCTCTGGAACCCTAAGCCAAAACAAACCCTTTCTTCCCTATTTTGGCTTTTGTGACTGATAGACCTTGTGCCTAGATTTAGTTCCTGTGTGAACCATGAAGCCATGTCAGAGTGATGGCCTCCAGGCTGTGCCGCATGCAAACTCCTGGGGTCAGAACCCCGACTCACCGATGGTGATGAACTTTATCACCCGCGTGGCGGGGTACTGCTTCCCCAGGTGGGTGTAGGACACGCGGCAGGTGTAGTTCCCTCCGTGCTCTTCAGCCACGTTCCTCACCATCAGTTTGTTTTTCACTCCGAAGAAGCTTATGTTGTCAAGAGGCAGCGGCTCACAGTTCTGGACAAGAAGACAGAAATTCATAACTGAAGAAGTGGCTGAAAGTGCAGCTTGTACACAGTATGCTTTCATTACTCTTTTTCTGTTGGGGTTGGAGGGGAGGAAAATTACATTCCTCAGCCCCAGAGGCTTCTGCCACAAAGGCAAGTGAAGACACGTTTACTTCCCAGAAACATGACTGCAGCAGTAATGCTGACATTCGTCAAGACCACGGTCCCTTCTGCCGCTGATATTATTTGTTTTATATTTGATATTTCTTATTCTCTCATCGCTAAAAGATGGTTTTCCCATAAAAGTTCCAGCACACTCCGTAAACTAAAGGTAATAAAATGTGCTGTGCCCCGCCCTAACGTTTCAGAGGATGCAGACACTGCCACGTTTTATGTGGAATGCTTAGCTTTTAGTTAACCTTTCAGGATTTGTTTTAATTTTATTTTTAATCGTGAGGCTGTGTGAGAGAGAGGTTATGGGTGTGTGTAGATGAGTGCCGTGCCCATGGAGGCCGGATTGCCCTGCAGCTGTAATCACAGGCAGTTGTGAGCCTCTGTGCATGCTGGGAAACAAACTCCAGCCCCCTGCAAGAGCGGTGTGTGCTCTTAGTCACAGCGCCATCCCTGCAGTGATTTTAATAAAACACAAAATACGTTATAAAAAGTTATCTCTGCAAGCACCATGGCACTGGGTTAGTTGTCTCTGTTGGTCTTCTTGTAAGGGTCCTGTCCCTTCCAGGTCCTGAGACTGAGACACCAGCTAAGGAGCAGGCATGGTCTGGACCTAGGCCCCTGCACACATGTGACTGATAGATGGTTCAGTCTTCATGTGGAGCACCTGGCGAGGGGAAGGGGGCTGTTTCTAACATGGACTCTATGGCCTGCTTTGGATCACTTCCCCCTGGCAGGGCTACCTGGCCTGGCCTCAGAGGATGAGGATATGCTCAGTCCTGATGTGACTTGAAGTGCTGAGGAGGGCTGATACAGGGGGAGGGAGCTCCCTTTTCTAGAGGGAAGGGGAGATGGAAGGGGAAAGGAGGGGAAGGGGTAGACTGGGAGGAGAGGAGGGAAGGGGCACCTTGGGATGTAAGGTAAATAAGCTGAAAAAAGTTCTCTCTTAAATGGCTTAAATTTGTAATCCGTCTTCTCAAACATGTTTTCTATTCCTTTTCTTGAAACTATCTTACTAAGGTAGACACAGAAAAGAGTTTTGAGATGTTAGGTAGGTTTAAGAATCAGTGAACACAGTCTTAATTTCTTGTTTCTTCCTGTATCACGTTGCGTCACTACAGAGGAGACCGCACACAAACTGTCAAATATTTCTGTGGATATCTTTTACTATCCATAACAAAAACTGTGCAAACGTAAAATGCCATACTTAAGACAAAATTACCTTATACCACTGAACTTCGGGTAACTCATTATTTTCATCTTTAAAAAAATCCAGATAAGGGCACACGAGACTTCCATCGCCTGCAATGTGGAGTCTCTGTGGGAAGGTGGCTTGGGCATTGTAACACAAGCCAGGGTCATTCTCTAAAACCTTCACCGTTATTTTAGTTTTGAGGCAGTGAGTTGAGTTTCTAAAACAAAGTAAAACACGGAAATTAATTATTATTAAAGTGACTTCTCTGTCCGTAACTCTCACAGACGTATGAGTGTCTGCCATGTCTGGTTTCCTTTCTTACCTTACTATACAATAGTAATGTCCCGAGTCCTCGGCCTTGGCAGGAACAAACCAAAGATGCTCGTTCTTCTGGTGAACCCTGGAGGCCTGCTCCTCTGATATGGGTGTCTGGCTGTCATTTTTATACCAACTTATGATGCCATGCTTTTCATTTGGAGTAAGAGGACAATCACGAATATCAATTTCATTTACAGATGAAAATAAAATTATCTCGTTTGGATATTCTTTACATTCATCTTTAAAAGAGAGAAAGGGGAAGCAGTTTCCATGAGAAAACCGTCTTACCATAGTAAATTCAGCATCATAAATAAAATGGTTAAAATCCCTATCAAAACTATCTCAAAGAGAAATAGCCCAAACTGTCCTGTCCCTTCTACGGGAACCGAGCTTGTACTTAAAACATCTCAACAGAGAAAATATCAAGTCTGGATATCTTCATCTTCAGGTCCTTCCAAGTACTGAATACATGATGTCAATTTTGAACAAATCCTCTCAAATATTAAAGACACAGTAATACCTCCAAACTCACATGTAATATCAGCGGCAATCTGTTATCCACACCAACGGCATTACCATAAAACCACAAATCAAAGTCTGCTGTAAGTACAGATGTGTATCTTTAAAATCTTTACCTAGCTTAATCCTACAGAATATATATTAAAAATATGATGCATTATAAAATTATACTCCGGAAACATAAAGTCATATTCACACTAAAAAAAAAAAAAAAATCAAATATACTCATGTGCTGAGAGATTTTTAAAAGTATACAAAAATCTCAACAAACACAGAAAAGGTGCTTAATTAAAACTGCTGTAAAATCCCCCTGTGAAGCAGGATCAAGCATCCTACTTGTGCCTTACGGTGGCCCTGGAGACCATCCAGCTGTCGTGTGCACTTTGATGAAAGACCTTTGCTCTAAGTGCTGCTGTTCTCAGTGTGTCAGTGGCCCCAGCTACAGCGCGGAGGTAAGAAAATTAAATGACATTCAAATTGAAGGAGAAAGGGAAATGCTTTTGTTTTCAGGTAACATAATCATCCATGCTAAAGCTGTAATGAAATACAGAAAAGACGTGAGCATTTTCAGCTGTAGAACACAACGGGAATATGCAAAATCTAGAATGTTTAATTTTCACGTATTGACAAAAATATTTCAAAGCTGAACTTTCAAGAACCACATGACAGTGTGCCAAAAGGTATTGAAAAGTAAAGACAAGTATATATAAAATAAAATTATAGAATGAAAATTACAAAATTTCAGTTGAGTAAGCTACAAACAAGTAGATAAATGCTGTGTTCGCAGAACTGAAGAATTGACTTTGTTAAGCTGTTCCCTCTATAAACATATTTATATTCAATTTAATCTCAAGCAAAATACGATCAGAACATTTTATACAAATTGGCAAGCCAATGTTAAAATTCATAGAAGTAGTCAAAACAAATTTGACTTTGAAAGGAAAAAGCAGTTACATGGCTCAAGTCAAAGACTTCCTGCAGGGTTGGGGTACTGCCCAGAAGTAGTGCTTGGCCACAAGCTCAGGGCACCTGATTCTGATAGTTATCACCAGAAAAAAAAAAAAAAAAAAAAAAAAAACTGCCTACAGATTGGGAAAAAATCTTCACCAACCCTGTATCTGACAGAGGGCTAATATCCAGAATATATAAAGAACTCAAGGAATTAAACATCAATAAATCAAATAATCCAACTAAAAAATGGGGAACAGAGCTAAACAGAGAGTTCTCAACAGAGGAATATCAAAAGGCAGAGAAACACTTAAAGAAATGCTCAGTGCAAATCAAAACGACCCTGAGATTTCACCTTACACCCATAAGAATGGCTAAGTTCAAAAACTCAAATGACAACACATGCTGGAGAGGATGTGGAGAAAGAGGAACCCTCCTCCACTGCTGGTGGGAATGTAAACTTGTACAACCACTCTGGAAATCAATCTGGCGCTTTCTCAGACAATTAGGAATAGTGCTACCTCAAGATCTAGCTATACCACTCTTAGGCATATATCCAAAAGATGCTCAAGTATACAAGGTCATTTGCTCAACCATGTTTGTAGCAGCTTTATTTATTCCAGCCAGAAGCTGGAAACAACCCAGATGCCCCTCAGTTGAGGAATAGATATAGAAATTGTGATACATTTACACAATGGAATACTACTCAGCAATTAAAAACAAGGAAATCATGAAATTTGCAGGCATATGGTGGGACCTAGAAAAAAAGCATCCTGAGTGAGGTATCCCAGAAGCAGAAAGACACACATGGTATATACTACCTTATAAGTGGATATTAGACATATAACATAGGATAAACATACTAAAATTTGTACACCTAAAGAAGCTAAGCAAGAAGGAGGACTCTGGGTAAGATGCTCAATCCTCATTCAGAAAGGCAAAGAGGATGAACATCAGAAGAGGGGGAAAACGGGGAACAGGACAGGAGTCTACCACAGAGGGCCTCTGAAAGACTCTGCCTTGCAGAGTATCAAAGCAGATGCTGAGACTCATAGCCAAACTTTGGGCAGAGTGCAAGGAATCTTATGAAAAAAGGGGGAGATAGAAAGACCTGGAGGGGACAGGAGCACCATAAGGAGAGCAACAGAACCAAAAAATCTGGACAGAGGGGTGTTTTCTGAGACTGATACTCCAACCATGGACCATTCATGTAGATAAGCTAGGACCCCTGCACAGATGTAAGTCATGGCAGCTCAGTGTCCAAGTGGGTTCTCTAGGGGAACAGGGGCTGCCTCTGACATGAACTCAGTGGTTGGCTCTTTGAAGGCCCCCTGAGGGGGGAGCAGCCTTGCCAGGCCATCAAAGAGGACAATGCAGCCACTCCTGATGAGACCTGATAGGCTAGGGTCAGAGGGAAAGGAAAGAGGACCTCCCCTATCAGTGGACTGGGGGAGGGTCATGGGTGGAGAAGGTGGAAGGAACATGGGATTGGGAGGGGAGGAGGGAAGACACTACAAAAGGAATACAAAGGGATACAAAGGGAATAAACTCTAATTAATTAAAATATTATAATAAATAAATAAAATTTTTTGAAAAAGAAACAAGGAATGCCAGTAAATTAAGCAAATCAGAAAACATAAACCCTCATAATTGTTCATATACGACACCTCGAATAGATTTTTTTAAGCATATCAGTAGTTTGGGCTTATAACTTCTCTCTCTCTTCATCGTTCACTTCAGAATTACATAAAATAACCAGTTTAACGCTGCTTTGCTAGGGCAGCGAGCTTCCTAACCACATTCTAATTCATACACTTACACCAATAGGTAAGTGTAACCTCTGCCCCTCACCCAAGAAGCCTCTCTTCACAGCATCGTGGGAAACAACAACTGGGCGCAAGGCGGAGACCAGTATATTGCAGCGAGGAGCCCAGTGGCTCAGGGAACGTGAGGGAGGAGGCAGCAGAGAGACGGCAGGAGGCAGAACGCCAGGAAGTGGAAGGGTCTGTCCTAGAAACGCTGCCTAAGGCCCGGAACATTGATACCAATGAGGACTCTAACGTGGAAGGGGGAATTTTCACGGGGTACCCAGACAAAGAACTACAGGCAAGCAATGACCGCTGGGAGCGGGGAGGGGTGGAGGGGATTAGCCTCACTGAGGGCTGAATCCCACCCGTTACTGGCTGTCCAATGCAGAGTGGTCATCCCTGAAGCCATATATGCACAGATAACAAAAGCAGACTCAGCGTGTGTGTGTGTGTGTGTGTGTGTGTGTGCGCGCGCGCACACACACATACAAAAGCAGACACACATATGTAACGATAAAAAAGAAGTGGCTATCAACTTGAGAGCGAGGGGCAAGGAGGGGTTCAAAGGAAGGTAGCTTGGAGGGGCTGAAGGGAGGAAACGGAGGAGAACGGTCATGTATTTTTATTAAAATCATATTTTGAGAAACAATAGTAAAAGCGTGTCTATTGGCATGTTAGTGAATGAACAGTTTCCATGCCCACAAAACAGGTCATCCGGGATTCAACATTAATATGTACAACATGAGTGAGGCTCAGAAATAATCTGAGTTAAAAAATCAGACCCATCTCCCTCAAAAACAGCACGTGCTGATAAATGTATTTATTTAACATTTTAGAAAGTATGAGTCAATCTCTGAGGACAGGAAGTAGCTTATCTGGGGGTGAGACGGTGGGGAGGATGGAGAGGAACGATGGAGAAAAGGAAACAAGGGAATGGCAGATATGTTCATTATCTTGATTTCGATTGTGACTTCGGGAATGTGTGTACATTAATACTTCAAATACTAGCTAACCTCAGAAGCTCTCTCAGCCAGCTTGAACCAGGAGTGGGTTGGAGCCACTGAGCGAGGACTCCAGTGCTCAGCTACAAAAAACAGCCACAGCCACGACAGGAGCGAACGAGCCCCCAGAGAACTATCCCTGCATCTCTGGGGTTAGAGCGACACCACCAAAAGAGCAGCTTTCAGGGTGCTGAACTCAACAACTCACAAACGCCACCTCACTTGACGCCCACACTGAGACGCCTCTCTTGGATGTACCCTCTCAGCCAGAGGCACTTTCCCTACTTGGCTCTCTAGATTTTGGGCCAGACTTTCACTAGTTCTCTGGCCAGTGAACCCATCAATCACCCTAGAGGAAGCCAGAACTCAGTTCTTGGTACTATCTTTCCTTACCACACTCGGTGACCTCATCCGGTCTCTCAGCTTTCGTACCACGTGCCTGCTGGCCTCTTTAGTTCTGTATTTCCATCCTAGACCACACAGCCTCTGTCTCCACACAGTCTTGTCGCTGTCAGCATTTAGACACCCAAGGACCTCTGTCAGCGTGGACACAGACAACATCTGATCTTTCCATATTGCATCAATGCCAATTCTACTTTGTATTTGCACAAGCAAGGCCTCGCTCTCGTCCCTACACTCACTTGGACTCCATCTGTGAATTCTGCTAGCTCAAAATACATCCAAACGTTGGCTGACTATCTCCTCTTCATCTCTGGTCAGGTCAACCTCCCTCCCTGTCTCGGGACACACTGCTTTCATGGCTCGCCTAGAGGATCGCAATGACCTCTCAACGGTTTCCTCTTTCTGCCTCTGCCTCCTGAGCCTCTATTCCCAAAACAGAAAAAAAAAAAAAAAAAAAAACAAGCCACATCAAACATGTTAGATCATCTCCCTGGGAGTTTGTGGTGGTGGTGGTGGTGGTGGTGGTGGTGGTGGTGGTGGAGAAAGAGGAGGTGGTGGTGGAGGAGGTGAAAATGGTGGTAGTGGTGGAGGTGGTGATGGTAAAGGACAGGGGGAGATAGTGATGGTGATGGGGAGAAGTTGGAGGAGGTGGTGGTGATGGTGGAGGTTGTGGTGGTGGAAGTGGTGGTGATGGTGGTCATGGTGGTGGTGGTGATGG